TTAGCTTTTGTTTTCCTTTTGTGCAAATGAGTTTTTTGCCTTACACTTCAGAATGTAATATTCTTTTTGTCAATATATAGAACTGTCTCATCTTTGCCTTAGCATTCTGATTATTGCTTTTCAATTTTGAGATTCACAACCGAGATGTTTTACTCCGATTGATTTTGAGATTAAAACTGAGATGATTTACTCCGGTTCATTGAGTTGATGATCTGATCAACTGAGATTCTCAACCGTGATGTCTTACTCCAGTTGAATGAGTTGATGTTTTGCTCAACTTTTAGATTCGCAACCGTGATGTCTTACTCCGGTTGAATGAGTTAATGTTTTGCTCAACTTTTAGATTCTCAACCGAGATGTTAACTCCGATTGAATGAGTTGATGTATACTTCGGTTGAATGAGTTGATGTTTTGCTCAACTTTTAGATTCTCAACCGAGATGTTAACTCCGGTTGAATGAGTTGATGTTTTGCTCAACTCTGAGATTCTCAACCGAGATATTAACTTCGGTTGAATGAGTTGATGTTTTGCTCAACTCTGAGACTCTTAACTGAGATGTTAACTCCGGTTGAATGAGTTGATGTTTTGCTCAAATTTGCGATTCAAAACCGAGATGTTTTACTCCGGTTAATTTCATTGATGATTTGTTCAAAAATGTGATTTTAACCGAGATGTTTTATTCCGGTTAACGCGGTTGATGATTTACTCAACTTTATGCTGGAAACCGCAATGTCTTTTCTGGTTAGATAAGTTAGATAAAGTGGTTAGTCTTGCCGAGGTATTTTGATAGCCAGCGTTATCTAGCATGAAGAACATGCAAACACTTGAAGAAAATGGAGCTTTTTCATTGATGTGAAAAGTAATTACAAGAGGAGGGACGGATAGCCCGGTTACATGTGTAAACCAAAAAGGAAGAAAAGAGACAAAGAAAACTAAGCTAGAGGGGAAAGGTCAGTGAATTCGTCCTCGGCTGCCTCCAGGTTGACCGTTGGTGTTTGGTTTTGGACACCGGTCTCCGTTTGGCTGGGCTGAACTGTGTGATTTTCCCCCTCCGCATTTTTCTCGGTTTCCTTGTCCCATTTTTTCTCGGCCTCAACCTACAACGCGGCGAAGACGTCGTTGGCGTAGGACACGAGATAGCTCGGTAGGGAGGCAGCTGGAGGAGTGGCGAACACGTCAGTCCCCGGTCCCTGGCCGAGATGTTCACAAGCAGACTTCCACCAAGCCTTGAAGAAAATGTCTTTGGTGGCACGGACCTGCTTTGTGTAACTCTCCTCGACCTCAAGGAAACCGGCGTTGCTTGCACCCTTTAGATCCTCTTCCCGTGATTGTTTCAGCGTATCTAGCTCGGCCCGGAGCGCGTCTCTCTCCTTCTCGGCAGAGCCAAGCTGGCCGAGCAACCGAGAGTTGCCGGAGTTCGCCATTTGCAATGAAGACTGGGCTCTCCCGAGCTCGGCTTGGAGGCTTTGAACTTGGTTGGCAGAGTCAGTTGCCCTCTGCCGAAGCCAGTGAATGCGCTCCATGACCAAGTGCTGCTTCTGGATGGCCTGCAAGAAGAGAGATTGATCAGAAAGAAAACCGAACAAACACTTGGTGAAATTTTGAGCACAAGTTTGAGATTCTTACCCTAGTCATGGATTTGACCGACGACTTCACCAACCGGGTGTCTGGAACATGGTCGCTGCCGACCACGTCGCTCGGTAGGAGAAGGGCCTTGGTGAGGTCAAAGGCGAGAAGATGCTCTTTGTCGCCCTTAACGGAAGCTATTACCGGGATCTCCTTGCCCCGGTGTTTGAGTTGGGGCCTCCATGCCGGTGTTGGGTCGACAGTGATGACAGGCTGTTCGGTGTTGAGCTCGGTTACTAGCTCGGCAAAAGGGTCTGCATGAGGCCTTTTGCCAGCCCAACGGGAGTCTCTGCTGGCTTGCTCGGCAGCGGGAGAAGCCAACGCAACCACGGTCCCGCTGGATTGACCGGCAGCCGGAGAGCGGGCTGGAATGCTCGGGATCTCAGACGAGGTGGCAGTGATCAAGTTCTTAATGTGGCTCCTCTTGGCCATTTCTTCTGCTTCGGTTAAATGAATGAAGGGGACGTCTGGCAGTGTGGGATCTAGCAGCAGAGATGGAGCGCGAAGAAAGTCAGTGACTTTACTCCGGCGCGGAGCTGAATACCGGTATGTTGGAGTGTAGCCGAGGAGCTCGTTACAATCCCGGTTGCGGTAACGGAGTACGGTCCTGATGGCTGCTTCGTTGGGATAGTAGTAGTTGGCTTGTAAGGCTTGGATCACTGCAAAGGAAAGAAGAAAAGTGTCAAGTACAGAATAGTGAAGAAAGATAAGTTGACCGAGCAGTTAGCACGGCTTACATGTCTCGCCGAAGTTCTTGCTAATAAACCAGCCCGGTACGTCGGCCATTTCATAGTTGTCAGACACCCAGAAAAAGTCATCGTCGTGTGAGTAATAGGCGAGGCCGTCGCTCGTGTGCTCAAGGGTGTATTGACGGAGTATCTCGGCTAAACCTAAGTTGGTTCCTAGCCGGTTGTTCAACTCATGGACCCCGTTGATTATTCGGTAAGTGTTGGTTGAGACTTGAGTGGGTGCTAGCCCGGTACGGCGCAAGAATTCGGTCATCAATGGGTTGACCGGGAAGCGGAGGCCTCCTTCAATGATGGATAGCACGGTAAAGGGGCACTGGTCTAAGCTGCCCCAAGGGATTGTCTCAATTTCGCCGAGCTCTAGCTGGACGTCGGCCGGGATACCGTACTCTTCCCGGAACGCGGCCAGAGTAGCTGGAGTATCAACAAGGAAGCGGAAGCGCCCCATGTGTAGCTAGCTGGTTTAGCCCGGCTGAGGTGGTTTGGCACAGACTGGTGTTTAATGGCTGCTCGGTCTTTGAGAGCCTCGGTAATTGGTCAGTGGTCCCCTTGGACTCTGCAGGAAAAGGATGGCAAGTGTAAGTGGAAGTGCGTTCGAGCAAAACGAGCTTGACTTTAGCTCGGTCATGAAGAGTGCCAGACCACCTCGGTCGCGAAGGCAAACCAAGGAGCTCGGTCGCTTAAGCAGACCAGTTGTTAGCCCGGTTGAGCGGCCAAGTCCTCTGACTACCTCGGTTTCTACTAAAGTTTTGGCAAACTTGTAAATTGCTCGGTCTAATTGTTTTTTGGATCAAAAGGTGACCTGGAGCCCAGTCCGCTCCAGTTCTTCGTGTGTTCATGTGTTCATCACTGGGATTGAAGAACAACGAAGAGAACAGGGGCAGGTGTGGGTTTTGGGAGGGTTATGTCTTAAAACCTACGAATTTTTTGCCCTAATATGTGAAATACCAAATGAAAATAACAAAAAAGAGGCTCGAAGGACTTACCAGTTAAGGGCAGGAGCTTCCTCCTCGAACACAAATGCAAGTAAAGGCAGGAACGAGGCTTGCAAGAGGTACAGGAGCTCTGGAACGCTTGGAATGGAGGAGGAACAGTAAGAATGAAATGAAGAGGAAATGGCGTATATATGGGAGGAAGATCGCCAAAAATTTGAATGTAAAGGGATGGTTGGCTGCTCGAGGCCAATGAGCGAGCGACACGTGTCCCTATTGACGGCGGCGTCGTCAGTACTGAAGAGACAGGATGGTAAGTCGAGGCGTCGACCGGGCAAGTTTAAAGACAGGTATGTCAACTAGCTTGGTCACCGTCTAGCAGACTGTGAACCGAGGAAGAGTTATCCCGGACAGAACAGGTAATCCCAGTCACGCTTGTGCGGACGGAATTAAGGGGCAATTGAGAGGGAGATTTATGATTTGGATTGGGCCATGGTAAGGGCCGGACAAATTGTGGGCCAAACACATTTGGGCTGTGGCAGCCTGGGCCCATTCAGAAAGGATTTTTGCTCGGAAATGACACAGTTGCTGTGAAACCGAGCTACTTGCCGGGTAATGGCATAGTTACTCGGTAATGGCATAGTTGCATAATTGATGTCGTACTAGCGGTCAAGTGAGGTTCGGCCGAGATGTCTGCTGCCTCACTGGGTTCCACGGTTCATGCGTTAGCTCGGCAGGAAGGCCGACGGCTAACCAGCATGACTTATCCTGAGCTCGGCTAAGCCGGAATGCAACCGAGCTCGGTCGTCATTGAGCTTGGCGAGCGGAGCGCTCTGGCTAGTTGCGTAGCACGGCCGTTGACAGCCGAGATGCTGCAGCCCGGCTGCCGAGCTCCCAGTGGTGTGGGCTAGCAGTTAGGTGATGTTCAGCTAGATTTGTGCTGACAGATGAGATAGCAGCACCACGTGTCGAGAAACTAATGGGAGTAGATTTGGGGCGCAGAAGATATATAAGCGAGTCCGTGCCCCCCACGCTGAGACAGATGAACATTTGGTGAGATTTACACTAAACACTCAATCCTCTCTCTCTCTCTATCTCTGTGTGTGTCTAACTTGATCGTCGGAGGGGTATTCCGGCCACACACCGCCGGGTAGCTCACCGTCATTGTGCTCGTAGATCGATCGGACAGGCAGGAGCTTGGAAGAAAGGAGTACGAACTTGCCAGAATATTTGCTCCCCGTACAACGATCCATGACATAGAAAGCCATGATGTGGAAATTTATAGTTTGATGAACTAAATTTACATAATTGCCCTTCTTGTAAATAGAGTCAACTGTGAGGTTGTCGGAAAAAAGTGAATAAATTGTTAGAAAAGTCTATAATGTGAAGTTACCAGAATTTTAGATTCATGCAAGAGATATTTAAAGTCTCTGTTGCGGGGCTACATATATAAGTGAATATTGACCATTAATGGTGAATTTTGAATGCTTTTCTGATTTGCCGAAAATTGTTTGTTATTCTTTGTTTTTTTTGTTGCAGTACATGCAAAAATGCTATGTATTAAAATAAAATTTTCAAAAACATGTTCACGAGCCGATACATAATTTAAATTTTGAGTAATTTTTCTAAAAATGTAATATTGCCAAGGTGACATGAATATTGAACTTAAAATTTGGTTGCAAAATTTCTTTTGCAGGAAACCTTACGTAGGAGTAGCTCTTTGGAATCAAGGATCCGAAATGCCACCAAGGAAGCATTAAAAGAAGTACAAATCGCAGAAATTTTTTGTGCTTGTCGGAAACCAGCTACTGGTGGTTGTCGGAATTGTCTCATGAGAAAAATATGTTGCTGTCTTCAAACTGCCGGTTTTGACAGTACTATTTGCAAGTCTAAGTGGAAGAGTTCACCACATATTCCTTCAGGTGTATTCAAATAGGATCTCATTCACTTTGTATGCGTCTCAGGATTAGTCAAGTTTATCCGAATACCCAATTATTATAATAAAAAAGGCATGCGCCCCTCTCAGGTTTTGTAATTTTTTTTTTTTTTTTACATATAAGGAAAATAATTAATCAATAAAAATATTATATAGAAATAATAGTTAGAATGATTTCTTAATGACATTTTTCAAATTACGAAAATAATGATATTTGTTTTGATTGAAAATGAAAAAATTACAACAAACCATATTATTAAAAAAATTTAGTGCAACACTGATATCAAACCATCACTTACATGTAAACATAGTTAACCCCACTACGAAAATGAGAAATTATTGAATTGTTAATTATATCTAACAAGTATGATTGGCCTTTCATGCGTTATTTTACTATTGATTAGTAATATCATATATTGATGATAATGTGATATTACTTTTATTTATATATTATTATATAATCTATTATAAGACATACAAAGACTCTTTTGCATTGTGTATTCACAAGTAACATCATATATTTTCAATTCTAATTTTTCACAAAGTCAATTATAAAAACAAAAATTTTAAAAATTTTATATTAAATATTTAAGATTTTGTGCGTAATATTAATTTAAAAATTATTATCTATTATTATTGATTATGAGGAAAAAAATTTCAAAATTTTAATTGACAAGTGCTCCTTTTAAACTATATTTCTGGCTCCACTGTATAAATCCTACATTTCAATCTTTGAATATAAACCTATTTTTGATCTTATAATTTTTATGTAGTAACTCTAGATACCTATTCCTAGTTGAAGCTAGTTGTCTTGTGGGCATGTCTTGAATTTAATTTAGACTATATTTATAGCTTTTTTGGCATTTTGCACCAAATGCATATGTTATACGGATTTGGGTGCGGGTGTTAAGTACGGGTGCATATCTTAAGGTTGGATTTATCAAATTTTAAATTTAAGGGTATGTGAATTCGGTAAAAAAATTTCATATTTTTATATTTCTAATAAATTATGTGAGATAAAATGATATTTATTATATGCAATATAGAATATTAAAAAGACATTTTATTCATTTTATAATAATTATATAACAATATATACATTAATAATAGTGTTAAATATAAATATATAAGAAGTGTCTGATGAAAAGTATCGGACAGCATCAAACATATAGCCTACACTCTTGTTCAAGTGTCGAGTATCTAATATAAATATTTCATTTATTTTGAAAATTACTTGGAAGTTTGTCAAACGCTTGATCCAACTAGTATTGATTTTGAATCTATTTTTATCCAAGGCAATTGTATAAAGATAATGTACTCATTGTATTCTTAACATTTATAGTAAAATTTTTATATTACTTTTTGCCCATAAATATTGGTTGTATAAATTTTTATATGCTTGTATATTTGTTCTATATGTAGGTGAACACACCTTTTTGGATGTTGTGGACAACTCAAGCTCTAAGAAAGGAGAGGTCAGAGTGATAATTGAGTTAAATTTTCGAGTTGAGTTTGAGATGGCTAGAGCGAGTGAAGAGTACAACAAGCTCATCACAAGACTCCCTGAAGTGTTTGTTGGAAAGGTTGAGAGATTGCACAATCTCATCAAGATCTTGTGCTCTGCTGCAAAGAAATGCATGAAGGACAATAAAATGCACATTGGTCCATGGAGGAAGCACAAATACATGCAAGCCAAGTGGCTTAGCACCTGTGAAAGGAGGATATCTACCCCAATCTTGTCGACACGACACTCTGCACATACCCCTAGGCCAAAGGCATCAATGCTAACGGTAGACTTGTTGGAGAACTTGTCCAATTTGAATAGGCCCGCAGTTCAAGTCGTGTGACTGTGAATGTGACATTTCATCCCGGATCGGCCATGTATGAGTTCACATCCCTTCTTAGTAATAACTTATTTTAAAGTGGTGAAAGTGTAGTTCAAAGCAAACAACATTGTTACAGTTGGGGAGATTTTGCTAGAGAACATCTCCAATTTGCATAGGAGAACAAATCAAGTTGAGTGATTATCAATGTGACATTTCATCCCACCTAGGCTATATATGTCAGTTCACGTCTCTTCTTAGTAACATCACGTTTTAATGTCGTGAAGACCTAGCTCAAAGCAACCAATATTATATTACGGTTTAGGGTGGGATTGTAACAGTGAAAATGAGTTTTTGTTCATCCTGTCCTTTTACTTGTGTTCTTTGAAACAGTCACCTCCCTTCATACATGTATAGTTGTGTATTTATTGTCACATGAATAGAGAGTACCATAAGAATATGCTATTAGAGAGTTAAACAAGATTTACATAAATAAAATTGTAATCTTATCCTTGGCCTGGTCTGGCATATCAGAATAATTAAAGGATTAATTCTATGATACTATAGCTGTTGTGTGACATGAGGCTTTAAATAATTATTAGGGACACATTAAAGTGACAAATTTTAATTATGGTGGTTGATACAATGCTAATTGCCTCAATTTTTCCATTTTACTTGTCTCATCTATGTAGTCATTGAGTATAAAATATAAAATTTCACTACCTCATAGCATCTAAGAAAAAATAACTCAGAATTCTAGCTCTATAGGCCATGGCGGAGAAGGAAGGAGGAATCATCAAGAAGGGTCATGAGAAGGGCACAAAAATGGCAGTCTCTATTCTCAAACAGTTTGAGCTTTCCACAGGGCTCCTTTCTCTGGCTGATGTGATCGAAATGGGTTTTGTGAGCAGCACTGGCTACATGTGGATCGTGCAAACGAAGAAAGTGGAGCACAAGTTCAAGTTGATTAGCAAGCTTGTTAGTTACGACACTGAATCAATTGGTTTTGGAGTGTTTTGGAAAGATAGTTAAAAGTTGACTTTCAGCTTTTAATCAAATTTTTTAGCTTTTTTAAAAAGTGATTTGGGAAGTTGATAAAAAGTTGCTTTTGACTTTTTTGGTTAATATTTGTTTAAGATATCACATAACAATAAAATAAACAAATTACCCCATCCAATTTAAGAAATTTACATTTTCACCCATATATAACCCTAAACAACATGAAAGGTATAATTGTAATTTCACAAGTAACTTTTTTGAATCTTCCCAAATGACTTTTATGTTAAACAAGCCAATCTAACTTTTTTGGACAAGCTGCAAAACGCAACTTTTAACCCAAGTTCCCAAATGGGCACTATGTAAAGAAAAGGCGAATCAAGAAGATTAAGGGAGTGAAGGCTAAGGAGCTGATGTCGTGGCCTCCTGTTAGTGAGATCATTGCAGATAAGCCACCCACTCAGAAGATTCACTTCAAGAGCTTGGCTGGGATCACAAAAACTTTCCCAATTGAGGCATTTGTGGCTGGTCAGTAATACAAGGGCTTGTTTGGTAGTCCATTTCACACACAAAAAACAAGTTCTATATGGTTAGGGCTTTACAAGGATGAATTTATTATATATTTTGTGTGTGTGTAGTTTTTTTTTGATCGGCATATATTTTGTTTCTCTTATTCGTATGTTCTTCCATTAAGTGGTTGTTTTCATGGAATTCCTCAAGAAGTGTGTTAGAAAATAAGAATAAAAAAAAACTTGAGTGAATTACTTATGTTGTGCGAGGAAAAAAAATCATATATATCACGCTATAAAAGCTTTGGGGGTAAAATTGAATTTTCTCAACATGATTTTTGGGATAGAAAATCATCAAATTCCTTGTATTTTATATGTCGAGCACTTAGGCCAAGTTTGGCAACTCTTAAAAAATTCAAAAAGTCAAAAAGTCACTATCCTATTTAAATCACATCATCTTATTTAAGTCACATCACATCTCTAACACATCACTTCAAACCCAACCCAAACCCAACCCATATTTTATAAAAAGTCAAAAAGTGCACTTATTTAATCTTCCCAAACTTGGCCTTAAACTCACCCTCTCCCATGCTATGGTTTCAATGTACCCAAAAAATAAAACGTGCCTGAGTCAAAAGCACTAAAAATTACATAATAGCATTTAATGGCAACTACAAAATTGTTTTTCCCACATAGGTTGGTGAATTTGGAGGTTCAATTTGAACCAACATGTTTTTATAGAAAGATGCAAACTCAAATTTCAAAAGAAAAATGCAGACCTACTCTCTCCTACCAGCAAACCACCATCACCAACTATTACTTCAAGCCATTTTATTTCCTTCGTCATAACTCTGTTTCGCTTCATTTTTACGTCATTGGATTCACCTCATATCCTAGTTTTTGTATCACCTCTTGCACGTCTCATTCTTTCTCTTTTTGCATGTCGTCGGATCTCCGAAAGTTGATAAAAAGTTAAGACATTTCTTTTCATTTTTGACTTTTCTTCGAGTCATCTTTTGGACTTCATATCTTTCTTGATTCTTGACAGTTCTACTTCATTCTTTTGCCAATCTCTTCACTTCACTTCCTACTTCGTCCTACAATACCTTGCTTTCTCACTTCTTCCTATAATGGGTAGTTTTGGTATGTCAAAAGTTGTCTGAAAACTAACTTCGAAAATTTCAAAACATCATCTTTTGTTTCTTTCTCCTCAATCTTCCTTATTCTTCTTTTTCTTCTTCTTCACTTACAACATAATGCGAAACATGGTTCTAGGTGGTAAATTATGGAAATTAAGTTTTAAAGTTTTTGTCCCATGAATGTCTATACAGCTTTATGAACGTATATGTTTGTATTTACTTCCGCTAGCCCCAGTATCTTGTTTAATTTGTTCAAAGGCTTTTGGTAATAATCACATGATTATTGGTCAGTTACGGCACTAAACCTATAGGGGCGGGTTTGAGTCGTGACAGAGTGGTATCAGAACACGAGTTATACCGCACAAACGAGTCTATATGAGCTATATGATGTTCTAGTAAGAATTAGGAACATTGCATCTACATGTGCGAGTGTTTGTGAAATATATGAACACCTCTGAACCAATAGATATTGATACTGAAATGAAATGAACTGAAATTGAACATTGTGAAAAGAATTATTTGCCTATGTTTATTAGTGCTCTGTTTACCTATAGCAAATGGAAAATACAAGAAGTGATGGTACAACTGATTCTTCCGAAACTTGGATGAACCGAATGGAAAGAATGTTTGAAGCTTTGACAGAAGCAATAATGCAATAACAAAGACAACAACCTTTGCCTCCTCCACCTCCCCTAGTCCAAGCAGAATTAGTAAACAATGACATCATTAGCTTGACTCAGAAATTCAATAAGATGAAGCCGCTGATTTTCTTGGGTGGAATTGAACCTTGAAAAGCTGAAACATAGATGCCAGAAACTAAAAAGTTATTTGAAGTCTTTCCATGTACTGAGACTTAGAAAGTTTTGTTGGCCACCTATACTTTAAAGGACGAAGCTCGACGTTGGTGGATGCTTGTCTGTGAAAGCAGTAAGACTTTGACTTGGGATTAATTCAAAGAGATATTTTATGAAACATACTTCCCTTAGTGTTTTCGAGATAGAAAGGTGTTTGAATTCCAAGAACTCAAACAATACAATATGTCAGTGGCCGAATATGAGGCCAAGTTCATTGAATTAGCCCGTTTTGCCCCACACATGGTGGACAGATTAAAAGAAAGCTCAAAAATTTGAAGAAGGACTAGATCTAGATGTGTTTGATCAAGTAGGTATCTTAAAGCTGCCCAAATATGTAGATGTACTTGATAAAGCTTTAATGGCTGAAGCTAATCTAGTTGCAATGACATAAACAAAAGCTCCAATAACTGAATGATAGGGCAAGAGATCTGGGTACAAGTTGAAAAAGGGCCGTTCATTTGTTGTGAACAAGAAGCAAAATACGGGATCTACTAGCAGCTCAAGTCAGAGTAGTAAATTTACACCTATTTGTTGGGAATGTGGAAAAAAATATAAGGGTGTTTGTTATCATGCTTCTGGTGCATGCTTTCGGTCTGGCAAGATTGGCCACGTGATGAAGGATTGCCCACTCATAGCTGAAAATGCCAATCGTCCTACGACAAGTTCGGCCAGATCCATTTCTGCACCAAGATCAAATGTGAGAACTAATGCTGGGAGAGAACCCTTGAGACAAGGTAGAGTGTTTGCACTTATGCTCGGAACACTGAATCCGTGGTGTCAGGTATACTCCCTATTTGTGCCCAAAATGCATATGTGCTGATAGCTTTTGGTTCTACGCATTCATTCGTGTCACATGTGTTTTCTTGCAAATTGACTAGATCACTAGAACTCATGAATTACTTGTTATCTGTATCTACACCTTCTGGGGGTACTATAATGTGTGCTTATGTGTATCCTGCGTGTGACGTCATAATTGGAGATGTGTTGTTATATGTTGGTTTGCTACCTTTAGACATTGCTCATTTTGATTGCATATTGGGTATGGATTGGTTAACTAAGTATTGTACAACTATTGATTGTGCGAATAAATCTGTTGTCTTTCGACCACCTAGTTTATTTGAATTTGTGTTTGCTGGGAATGGGATAGTTCTATCTCTGTATATGATTTCTGCTTTGAAAGCTGTCAAATTGCTTAAAAATGGATGTCGGGTTATTTGTGCAGCGTTTTAAACGTGACTTCTGATAGTCCTAATGTGGAAGCTATTCCTGTAGCTAATGAATTTCCTGATGTGTTTCCAAACGAACTACCCGGTGATTTGATTGATAGAAAAATTGAATTTACCATTGAAGTATTGCCTGGAACACAACCAATTTCCAAAATAGCTTATAGAATGTCAACCTCAGAATTGAAAGTCCAACTTCAAGAATTGTTAGACAAGAAGTTTATCCGACCGAGCGCTTCACCTTGGGGTGCTCCAGTTTTGTTTGTTAAAAAGAAAGATGGGTCTTTGAGACTATGTATAGATTATTGGGAACTGAACAAAGTAACTGTCAAGAACAAATATCCACTGCCCTGAATAGATGATCTGTTTGACCAACTCCAGGGAGTCCAGATGTTTTCCAAAATTGATCTTCTATCCGAATACCACCAATTGAAAGTAAAGACATAAGACATAGAGAAAACCATTTTCCGGATTAGACATGGGCATTATGAGTTTTTGGTAATGTCGTTTGGGGTAACTAATGCACCTGCAGCATTCATAGACTTAATGAATATGGTGTTCAAACAATATCTTGATGAATGTATAGATACATTTACTGATGACATTCTAATTTATTCTAAAAGCAGGGAAGAACATGAAGATCATCTGAGAACTACCTTCCAGATCTTGAGAGAAAAGAAGTTGTATGGCAAATTTTCTAAATGTGAATTCTGACTGGACAGTTTGACATTTTTGGGGCATGTAACAACAACAAAGATGGCATTTCTGTGGATCAACAGAAAATTTAGGCTATTGTGAATTGGCCAAGACCAACAAATGTGTCAAAAATTAAAAGTTTTCTAGGACTTGCTGGTTACTACAGCAGATTTGTGAAAGATTTCTCCAAACTCACTATGTCTTTGACACAACTAACACAGAAAGATATGCCATTTGATTGGAATGATTAAAGGGAATCTGCTTTCTAGGAGTTGAAGACTAGATTAGTGACTGCACCAATTCTGACTTTACCTAATGGTACAGATGGATTCCAGATTTATAGTGATGCTTCATACAAGGGTCTGGGGTGTGTGCTTATGCAAAATGGAAAAGTGATTACCTATGCTTCTCTGTAACTCCGCTCTCATGAAAAGAACTACCCAACTCATGACCTTGAATTAGCAGTTGTGGTGTTTGCCTTGAAAATTTGGCGATATTATCTATACGGTGTGACTTGTGAAGTGTACACTGATCATAAAAGCCTCAAATATTTCTTTACTCAAAAGGAATTGGACATGAGACAGAGACGGTGACTTGAGTTGATAAAAAAATTATGATTTGTAGATTCTGTATCATCTAGGAAAGGCAAATACAATTGCAGATGTTTTGAGCTGAAAGTCTATTGGGAATTTGTCGTGTTTGCTCACTGGCCAGAAAGAATTGTTGTGTGATCTAGAAAGGAATGAAATTGAAGTAGTTTTGCATGAACATGGTGGAAATTCTAGCTGTCATTTCTGCTCAGCCGACCATAGTTGAGGAATTTAAGGAAAAAAAATTACAAGATGAATTTCTGAAGAAGATTATTGATGAAAATGAATTAAAACTGAGGCCAAGATTTGTGTATAAAAATAATGTGTAGAAATTTCAGGGTAGACTTTGTGTACCAGACCATTCTGAATTGAGAAAAGGCATTATGACCGAAGCTTACAACTCTAAATTTGCTATGCATCCGGGGAATACAAGGATGCACCATGACTTGAAATAGAACTTTTGGTGGCCTAGAATAAAGAAAAGTATTACTGATTTTGTGGCTAGGTGTTGGCATTACCAACAAGTAAAAGCTGAGCATCAACGACCCGCTGGATTACTTCAGCCGCTTCTAATACCAGAATGGAAATGAGAGTACATTATGATGGACTTCATTG